CACAGATCTTTCTACCTCCTTTGATCTGAATACAGTCTTTTGTGACTTCAAGACCTTTTAAAATACCATCAACTTTATCATTTACTTCTTCAAGCTGTTCTTTAACAACCACATCAGCCTTATCTATAGCTTTTGCAACTTTTACTATCCTTTTGTTCTTGGCACTAATATAATGTTTCTCGAACCCGACTTGTTTGTTTACAATGGAGGCCAGATCCTTTTTTGCCTTATTAAATATGTTATCTATCTGAGAAATAAATTCTCTTTTCATGTTACTGATCTTTGAATCTGTATCGTGGTTGCAAGTGAATTCCAACAATGAAAGTTTTTCATTTAACTTATCTGTTGAAATGCTATTTTGGTTAGTACTGCTGTCAGCCAGTTCTTCTCCGAACCGATTGAATTTAAATATAGACATCATGATGCTCTTATAACGATACCAAGTCCAAGTACACCAGGTTTTCAACATTACTATTGAGTATCGGGTTGTTATCTTGATCAAGTATGTTGACTGTTATGCAGTGAACTGTCCTCAACCCAGGTTTCAAATCAACATATAACCTTTCCTTTGGTTGTTCAGATATCTTATACCCATGTGGAACTTGAGGGAAGAACGTGTATAGCAGTTCAGTTTCCGCATGTTTGTGATCATGTGTGTGGTGGTTGACGAGACTGTTATGCACTATATTGCAGTGTATCTCGATGGTATCTACTGCCCTCAACTTTGGAGGTCTTGTTCCTGTCACTGTTTGATTCTCAATATGGTATGAGCTACTGTCGGCTCTATTCTGTTTTTCTTTTGTTGGAGGATCAAAACCAAACAACTTGCAGCACGCTTGATCCATATAGAACTTCAATGGTGAGTACACAGAAAGAAAATCACCATTTTTACTCAGTCTAAATTTAGTAGGATCAACGTTTAAGATCAAGGATTTTATGTAGTCGTTCGCAGTAGCTTCCATAGACTCGATTGTCCAGTAACCTCTTGTGAAAGTGAGAGGATTCGGTATTGCATGAACGTCACTATCCCAGAAGAAAATATTTGCTTCATCACGGACGTTGTAAATATTGTTGTCTGTAAAGAACGCAACAAGTGCCATACGATGCTTCACGTTCTCTTCCAGATGGATTGGGTGTTCCAAGTGGAGAGTGACGCGAGAGCTTGTACCTCTAAGTTTTAATAGTGGCATGGTACACTTATAATTTGCCCCACCAAGATTGCCATGAGTATTTGTCATCTCTTAAAGTGTTTATGATCGTGTTCCAATTTGTATCATCGTTTGAACATTGCTTCAAAACTTCAAGGCAGAGATGACCGCAAATAGGAGGGTCTTCAAAATCCTGTACTCGCATATCATTATAAAGCAAATCACGTTCGCCTAAATACTTCACAAGTTCAATTGGTGGTGGAGCGTTGCCAAATGAATCGAAATACAGCTTTTTTACCATTATGCATTTTGATATAACAGGTCCAGTGTGTACCATTCGATTCCAAGTCACCGAGATTCAAAATACCACATTCCATTTCCCATGGGGATTCTGGCAAAACTTCACGCATGAAAACACCTCGAAATCCTTTCAATCCCAACACTTTGGCCCATCGTTCGAGGTCACCAAGCGTTAAGGGGCTTATCCGTTTTTTTGTAATAGTAAAGCATCCAATTTCCTGTTGATACATCTTTTCAAACCAGCGCCCTTAGGATCCTTGTCTATTATTGTGTCCAACTCATTGTCAATCAAATGCTTCAACCATGGAATGAACCTTTCCTTCAGCATCGGTGCTAGGTGTCTTCTGACAACAGGTGAGATGAAACGTTTTCCACCAGGAACGGCACCCTCCACAAATTCCAACACTTCTTTCAGCAGGCCTCCCTGTTTATTTTTCAATAGCTGGTCGTAGCTGAGGTTCAGCCGAATACCTGTTTGGTTTCGTCTAGCTTTCTCAATAGCTTTATGCTGGACACTGTCTAACAGGATATGATCCGTTCCACTACGACCTATGTCGTCACTCGTCAGTCCAATTATAGCACTCTTCCGTTTCTTATAGGCGATACGAAGCTTACGTTTCTGCCCTTCAGACAGACGAATGGTGTGCCTGTGCAATTCACTCATGTTGTGCTTATATCACTATAAGTACTCTTATTATAAGCTTGAAATGGTATACGTATTTTATTGTGCCAAGTGTAAAAGGAAAACCACTTCGACCGATGTGGAACGTATTAAGACGGTTAACGACAAGTGGCGGTTAAGAGGCCGGTGTGTCGAATGCTTACACGAGAAGAGTACATTCACAAAAGCGTCTGTATCAGGAATCGCTGATGAAAAATTTGAAGAGGCACAAGAGCTTCATCGACCAGTAACAAAAAGGTTTCCAAAACGTAAAATTGTCACTCTCTACATAGACGACCTGTGGGCAGCTGACTTGGTTATAATGGACAAGTTCTTCCGGGAAAACGATGGATATAAATATATGCTAAATGTGATTGATACATTTTCCAAGTACGCATGGTCTGAACCATTACTCAGGAAGAGCGGTATCTAAGTGACAAACGCGTTTGAAGCCATCATACGAAGAGCTAAGGACAATGGTCACAAAGCACCTAACCTATTACACACTGATAAGGGTAGAGAGTTCGTCAACAAGGATTTTAAATGTCTTCTCGCCAAACATGGTATAAAGATGTATCATACTGAGAATGAAGAAAAGAGCTCCATAATTGAAAGGTTCAATCGCACACTCAATGAACGAATGAAAGTGCATTTTGAATCTAGGGGGTCATTCCGTTGGATAGACATACTGCAGGGTCTGTTGAGTAAGTACAACACAAGTGTACACTCCACCATTCGCATGAGGCCGGTCGATGTGACTGTGAAAGTCGAACCAGGAATTCGTAGCTTGTACCTCGATCAATTTCGATCAGTGAAGCGTCCACGACCTAAACTGAGAGTTGGCGATCGAGTGAGAATAGTAGCAAAGAAAGATACGTTTGCCAACAAGTACGCTCGAAACTGGCGAACAGAGATTTTCACAATTTCTCACATTCAGTCTACAGCACCGGTAACATACAGAATCATCGATGGTGAAGGAGAAGAGATCCTGGGTTCATTTTACGAAAAGGAGTTACAAAAGAGTAATTTCTAATGGTTTATTGAATAGTGACCCCAGGGGAGGGAATGGATTCCATCATCTAAAATGTATCGTTTATCATCTTGGTTGGACAACACTACTTTATTGAGTGCTATGGTATAGAGGTCGTGACTGAAACTTCTAATCATATTTATGGTTTTAGTGGTTTCCAAACCTTCAAACAAGCATTTTTTGTAGTCGTCAAATGTCATTTCCTTCTCGGTGACTGACTTTTTGACTCCTTTTGACTTTTTGCATACACTACCATCCTCGACTTCATGAGCATACATCTTAGATCTTAGAGCAATCTGTTCTCGCATAATCCTCCCACTCAGTTCATCTTTCATTTTACCAAAGAACCTTCTTGTTGACTCTAGGCATCCCATACGGATTGTTCTCAGGGTAGTCACTTGTATCAAAGTAATCTATCATGGTTTTCATATCCTGGTAAAAGTCAGAGGTGGCAATGGCATATTTCAAGGAGTCTGTGTCTGTATACTGCAATTGTGCTTTATCACCGTACTTCGATTTAATCACATTATAGTGAAAATCGTAAATTAGAGTCTTTGAAACATCCAATACACTCATACCAACATACAGGGTGAATTTTAAATGAGTTCCCCCCTTACCTTTTTCTACATTTCTTAAGATATCAACTTCGGACAACGTCAGATCATTGTAGTGTAGTAAGTACTTCATTTTGACTGGATAAACATTTTTGGCCGCCATCTTGGATCCGCCATATTGGATACAAATTTTTTTTTTCAAATGTAAAGGTAGGGTTGTGACCCATTGTTTCAAACTAGAATTTTACGCTGATTACAATGCCGCAATGAGTTTTAAAAAAAATCTTGATCCGTTCTAAAGTTATGAGGACTTTTTATAACTTTATTTTTAGCCCATTTTAACATTGTGCATTTACAAACTAAGACCATAATCTCAAAATAGTGCTAGATAAAGATAAGTATACACCACCATTCATTGTCGACCTATTATCACTTGGTTATGACGGATGTATTTTTTTGGCCGCCATCTTGGATCTGCCATTTTGAGATGTGATAAATTAATTTAAATATGAAGGTGGTGTTGCGACCCATTATTTCAGACTAATTTTTTATGCTGAATTTAATGCCGCAATCCGTTTTGCATTTTCATATTTGTTTTTTGAAATATTAGAAATTAAAGTAAGATAATTTTAATATTTCATCAAGAAAGCCTGAGAAACAAAAACGGATTGCGGCATTGAGTTCAGCATAAAAAAGTAGTTCAATATGATGGGTCACAACACCACCTTCATATTTAAATTAATTTATCACATCTCAAAATGGCAGATCCAAGATGGCGGCCGAAAAAAATTAATCCGTCATAACCAAGTGATAATAGGTCGACAATGAATGGTCGTGTATACTTATCTTTATCTAGCACTATTTTGAGATTATGGTCTTAGTTTGTAAATGCACAATGTTAAAATGGGATAAAAATAAAGTTATAAAAGGTCCTCATAACTTTAGAACAGATCAAGATTTTTTTTAACTTATTGCGGCAGTGTAGTCAGCGTAAAATTCTAGTTTGAAACAATGGGTCACAACCCTACCTTTACATTTGAAAAAAAATTGTATCTAATATGGTGGATCCAAGATGGCGGCCAAAAATGTTTATCAAGTCAAAATGAAGTACTTACTACTCTACAATGATCTGACGTGGTCCGGAGTTGATATCTTAAGAAATGTAGAAAAAAGTAGGGAGGGAACTCATTTAAAATTCACCCTGTATATAGGTTTATTGAACAGGAGTTTTGTCCTTTTCATGTGCACAGCAGAGAGGTTTTCAGCAAATATTGTACGATCCTTGAATGTAGGTTGAGCGATCCATTTTACAATTTGTTTTCCTTTGTCGCCAATCGCACATCCACTCTGTTAGGTATGTTCTCCATCGTCTTCCCAAATACACCATTATTCATCAGTTTGTAAAACTCCTTTTCGAAATCGTTCTTTGCCTGAGTTCTCAGTTTTGTATTCAGGTCAATATAAGTAGCTATCCAGTTTGATTGCTTAAAGGAAATGACTCTATGGATCTTCTTCAGTTTCAATCCAAGCTTGAGGTACAGCTTGAGATTCCTGTAATGAACCACATACTTCTCTTTGTCATAAAGTGTTGTCAACAGTTTAACCTCTTTTCCTCCTGGTGGTACTCTCTGCTCCGGGGCAAGAGGAAGATCGGAATGCAAGTCGTGAGTGTCTTTAGGATATTCCAAATCCACTTTAAGTATATAGCCCGTATCGGCATCGTCGGGGATTTCAGTGACATCGATGTTTGTATCACACCATTTGAAATCTCCATACGGCATGTGTTGAACCATTGCCCATCCATATAGGTTATTTGCATCTAAGTACACAAGGTACTCAGTTGGTTTGCTCGAATCGTAATCCTTCATGTAGGGGTTATTGGCTTTAGCATGACGGTTAGAACTTTGCGACACGCCACCTCTAATTCCCTTCTCAATCATAAGTAGCATATCATAATCTGAAATAAGTTCCAGTTCAACGTTCGTCGTTTTTAGCATAGCACTCCAAGCAAGACCAGGTGTTGTGAAAAACCATGCAGGATCTAGTTTGTATGTTGACATACACACATTTCGGAAGTTCTCCATAACGTCAGCTAGTAGGAGGACATCTGATTTGTTGTACATCAATGTGTACTCTTTCATATCCTTCATTTTAAATGAATCCCACACTCTTTTAGCATGTTCATAATCTTTATGATCAACATCTGTTTTAGTGAGTATGTTGTAGAATTCTTCCTGTTTAGGTAGATGAGTTAGCTTATATTTGTCCTCACTGTCCATGTAATCATATGGGTAAATACCTTTTCTCAAAACCAGGTTCAACTCGGATTCATTGAAGTATTTAGCAGTATGTGTAAACTGATCTTTCTGAAGGTTTTTGGTGAGTGCATCAAGGCTACTGGACATAAACTTGAACGAATCCAAGAACCTCAGTTCGATCATGTTCTGCTTTTTAACCGTATATGATATGTACCGTTCTTCATTGTTTGGTATCACTTCTATTTCCTCATCATTCATACCCAGCATTTTAATAAACAAATGTGTGTCGTAGCCTGAGAGGTTGTGAATGAAGACAGGAATAAACTTGGGTTTCCTGTACAGAATGTTGCATTTGTTGTGTGCAACTCCTCTGAATTGTCCTGTCAAATGGTCATGATCAAGGACCCTATCATCTTCTAGAGGTTTTTCACAAATATGGCATGTTGTTGAGTTTGATATAATACGCTGGTCATCTACCGTTAAATCCATAGGTTTGATAGCCTCACTAGAATACAAATGTCTTATTTTTTCAGACTCCATCTCAAGTTGTTCCACAAAGACCCTTCCAGCATCTGCACCAAAGTATGTGACAGGAGGTTTGTAGTCTCCATCTTTGGAAACGATGTAATATGCAAAACTCATAGCCAAGTGTTTTTGGTAGCTTTGTGTTTGTTCAGTTTTGATGGTTCTGTTGGACTCAAGAAGACATTCAAAGTCTGCATACACCACGAACGGGACTCGCATTGACTTGTTGAAATCATTAAATTTGATGACCGTCCCTTCTTCTGGAAGATTTATTTTTATACTTTCATGTCTGCTGCAATCCTCTCTATGTCTATCCAAACCTTCTTTTGATCCAAAGTGTAACAGACAACGTTTACACAACCATAACATATGATCATGTTTTGATATCTGTGATTGTACAAGTCTAGATAGATTCTTTATGTAACAATAATGGTTTGTGTCTGCAGACTTCAAGTAAATTTTACTAACTAAAAAGTTTTATTCAATCAGTGTGGATTTATTTTAGATGTGTCGATAACTGTAGAATAAATAGTTGTTTTAGTGATTTATAGTTATTCATGGATAATTATAATGTTTATAGTAAAGTATGGCAATTTATAGGTTTATAGTTGTTTATGGTTATTTATAGACTGTATTGTTCTTTATGGCTATTTATAGTGTTTATCTCGGTTGTCGTTATTTAAAATCTACTTTTAAAGGTAGCAATGTATTTTCCATATGTTTCAAGTACATGTTTGATACTCTAACAAGTGTACTGTAATTTATCAAATAAATAGTTCATATATGTTTTATAAATAAATCCCCTAGATAATTTTTTTTTGCAATTTGTATGATTAAGACATATAGCACCATCAAAAAGTTTCTAAAAGCTCTTAGCATCAAGCAAATAAAAAAAACTCTGGCTTTCCAATAAACATTGTTTGAGAATATCTTCATCTGCAACGAAATCTGCGAGAAAGCATCCGATATGTAAATTAAATTTCTGTTTTTCAAATGTATTGAGCTTTGAATAATTTATACCGGTGAAATGAATGTGAAATATTTTCGATTTCTTGAAATGAGGTATATTTGTAACACCACTTATGCATGAAGAGATTTGTATGCGTTCTTTCGTTTCTGGATCCAAAATATTTTTGTACTTGTTTTAGGTTGTGTAAATGTACAGTAAAAATCAAATAAAACAATTTAAAACGTTGGTATAATGTTTTCCAACCGATTCATTTTGGGTCTTATGTGTTTTAAAAACGTTAAACTAAAAAAAAATAATATTTTTTGTAAAATTTGTTCATGCTCAGACTCAACAAATAAACAGGAAGTTAAATAATTAAACTAATTAATGGTTATTGCCTTTTTTCCATGTCATTAAAGATTAAATTTTTTCATTAGTTTTTCCGGAAAAACACTAGAATTAGATCCTCATTAAACTTTTAATCCTTAGACCAACTTTTATGGGACGAGTACCTGTCCTTTTAAAGTGACTGCTTGTTATAAACTTGGATTTTACGAAAAGGGTATTGCTAAACCAAGATACGATCTTAAAAATAAATTCATGTTGTGTGTTAGTTTATGTGATTATAAGTATAAACGAAAACATAACCACTCTTAGAAGCTATGAGTAGTGATTGTTAGTAATTAAAAAACTGTCGTAGGTAAATTATTGTACACAACTCAAGTAAATAGCCTTAAAACGATCGTTGCATAAACTACTGTAAACCTGTTTAAACATATAACATCAACATTGTGTTGTACGTTAAAGTATTATTACTTTGGAACTTGTTTTTTTAGCATTCAGATGACATTCAATTTTAAAAATCCAAAACCAAAAGCCTACTATGATGACTTTAAATAGGTTTTATGTGATGTTTACTTCATACTTTTATATAATAAATAATAATGTCACAAAACATTAAACTTATCTAAGTATATCAATAAATGTGCCGGTTAAATTAATGGATACAATGAATAAGAACTGAGAGGTGTGTATGAGTAAATAATGTAACGCTTAGGTTCTTCATCAAAATATAATTCAAAACTATTATGTATAACCTTCGCAATTCAGCTTCACATGAATGGCTTTACATAATTTAGTTTCATAATCGTCAACAACAACAATTCGATCAAGTTTAATTACAATTTACAATGCAAATATGATTAGATAATAACCAATCTGTTCAGATTATTTATTTAATCGGATTATTCATGTATTGATCTACATAAAATAGTTTCCTTTTTATTTAAATTCAGTCTTAAAAGAAAAGTTAAATATAATATTATACTTACTAACAAATAAGCTCAACAGCTTGACAGGAATCAAATATTGTGTAAATAGAAGATTTACGTTGATTTCTCAATCCACTTACCTTCTTTATTTTTTATCAATTTAATTTGTTGATCATAGTCAAGTCGAAAAAAATAAATAAAAGAATTTACGAGCAAGTCAGTGTATCACCATTACCGTTTTATTGATTATATATTATGTACAAAAAAAGGCATCTTGTTTTTCAATGTAGCAGTAGAGTTAAAATATGACATGCTTAAATACTTTTAGCTTTATAACAATGTATTCAAACTATAATCTGACTATTAAATAGAAAAATTGCCTTCCATTATATTTTAATTAAAAAGGTTATCCCTCTTTTATTTTCTAATTGAGGCTAAAGTGACTCCATTCTTAAACATCATACTATTTGACAATTCCCTATTGTAATATCGTTATTTAGTATCATTATTGCATTTGCATACGTTGTTATAAGTCTCTTAGAACTGTGAGTTAAAAACAACAACATTGTCACAGCATGTAAAATAATGAAAGCTCTCTGTAAATCGTAAAAAGATATCTGACCATATAAGATGAACCTCATTATCATCTTGTGGAGGATATCAAGGTTATGTTGTATCAAACTAGCATTGATCAATGTGTCAAAAAACCCCTATTAGGTAATCCGCAAGTCTACATTATACCTTGAACAGCTAAATGAAATTACAGGTGTTACCATCGCCATGAAGTTTGTAGCCTAAACACTCACATTAGTCAAGTGATCACATTTTTACCAAGCTATTTTGTCATAGGTACAATCTGTTGAAAACTTTAAATAAGAAATTTGTATATTTTCGTGTCAAAAACCAATTACTGTGTGCAATGTAATATCTTATTTATTTTTAATATTATTATTAAAATACCACATAAAATTTGAAGTACCACATAGTTTTTATCAACACAGTAAGACAAGTCAGAGATATTTAAGCTTTTTCAGCCACGAAAGGATAGAGGAAGACTAAATGCTCAGCTTTATCAAACTGACAGAAGAACGAAGTCTCAAATTGCTTCCTTATTTGGTATTTTGGCTTTGAAACTTGTAAGTTAAAGGCAATTGTTCAAACAAGGGGTTTAGGTTTTAAGTAAAACATTGTTTAGCATTGTTGTTATGACTTTAATGAAGTTAATAACATTTGTTTACAATCCTTTATATACACTTACTACCTTATAAACATACATAAATATCTATATTTCTCTCCTTTATTTTGCTAAAACTATTTTGAGAATATAATTATATACAACGAGTGTTTGGGGAAGCATAAAGTTGCATTTGAATAAAAATGTTCTGCTGTGTATCGTTTTATCGTCCATTTAACCGCTTTAAATATTCATACATTCCAGTAAACGTGCATACTATGCACTGTATTCGTCTCCTAACTTACTAATGTATACGACGAATATCTTAACGAAAAATAGTTTGTGTACAGATTGAAATATTGTTGTGAATATAATATGTTGATAAGAGAAAGTGACGGTAGGAAGAATATTTTATTTCATGCATTTTCTATCAGTCACTTTTACTTCCTGGATGCCAGGGACAAGACATACAATGGTAATTCACGGCTGTTAGCTAACGAGTTAGTACTAAATGAAGAAACAAAATATCAGTTAGGGATGACATACATTATACGTAGTATTAAATGTTTAAAATTCCATAATACGGTCATCTAGTTTATATAATTTTTTTGTTAGTTGGATTATATGACCTTCACCATCTGAATCCAACAAAAATACCAATCTTACAAAAGATATAAAGGTGTTAATTAAATAGTAACCTATAAGAACTTATAATGTAATGTCATTATAATAGTAGTTTTTTTATGTAATCCTATTTTATGTACTTATAATAAAACCCTTGGAATCAGAAACAGCCAACGGGTTTTCTTCATTGGAATTCTTGATCAAAACTTAATTTACGATTGAAACAATTTTACGTATATTTTCTTTTTGGAGTGAGCATTTAGGGTTTCTTATTATTGTGATAAATTTTCTTTGTAAATTCTATTACATTTATAAGGTTCAGAGCAATATATATTTCTCCTAAACATCTGGGCTTGAATTTCACAAATTGAAAAGATGCCGTTGTCTAATATGTTATAGCTATTTTTAGGGCAAAGGTCCTTTTTTATGGTAGAAATAAAATCTCTCAACCCTATCTGTATTGCAGAATTGCATCTGTTAAAATTAATTCAATAGTTTTATTTGAACTTTATTTACGTTATATTGTTGTTTTGGTAAAGAAATTGAGTTTTCATTAGTTGCCATATATATTTGGTATAATAATAATAGAACTTGTGACATAGCTTGTAAGTTATTTCATATTTAATGAACAAAGCTTTATGAAAGATGAAGCACTCAGTGAAATTCCAAAGTAGGTTTCAACTAATATCAACGATTCACACTTCACTGGCCTCTTGTTCTATCATCCCCTATTGTTTTCTTCAATCGTAGCCAACTTGGTCAAAATTATATTATTAATAATATTACCTACCTTACAAATCGTGTATGTATTATACAATAGTGCGTGGTTTTATAGCTAGGTCTTAGCTCAAATTTATATTGTTATATGAGTACGGTTAGAATGATAATCGCTATGATGAATTGAATCACCAAAAGACTCAAGGGTTGCAAGATTTAAAATAAGACTTCAATAGCTGATTATTATGTCAATTTCCTTTCAAATAAAAGATTGTCCTTTTGATATTTGAAGATTCTTTTTTTTCAATATGATTTAGTTATTTACAAAATCTACTTAAACGACAACTTAAAGAATTACACGAATTTCCATACTGAGTTAAGTCTGCCAGCTGATTCATTTGCTGATTCTTAAAACTTTAAACAGTTTACACTCATCCTGTTTTTGAAAAGTTTTTTTTTTGTTTTTTCGTAAACCAGTTTAGTG